CACCTGAACTAAAACCACTCCTAACCTAGAATAAGAAGCATTTGGTGATCATAAACACTTGAGATACAATCAGTTGTTCTGCAGCAAAGATTAAGCCCTAATAGTGTTTCTCTTCTATGTTTTCTATAAGTAAGGCTTTACTTGAAATCGATGTACGAACAAGCAACGTGTGATGTTTATAATTTCCATCTCACTTGTTTTATTATTTATTTATTGACAAATTGCCACGTATAGCAAGAGCTGAATCATGACAATCTTCTGTCATCAATCCCAAAATCCTCCCCCATCAGTCAGTGAGGAGGGGACAAGTCATCCACCTGGCTTTATGCTGGGTAGGATGTTGTGGTCCTTTGGCCAGGTCACAGCACTAGCCAGGGCCCCTTCAGAGGCAGCCGGGCAGGGCCTCACCAGCCAGGGCCACCTCACCACTCCCACCAGGAGCTACTGGGGGAGAGGCACTGGGCATCCTCCCTGGGGACAGGTCAAGGCTGGGACAGGACATGGGTTCACAGGTGGCCCCAGCTCAGCAGGGCTCATGGCCAGGCAGGGCAGGGCTCAGGGGAGCTGGAGACCAGCCCTGCTGCAGTATCACAGGGGCAAGGGCTGATGGCTCCAGGGGCTGACATGGGGTCCTGGGCCCTGGGCAGGTTGGGGAAAAGCCCCAGGTGAGGCTGGTCAGGGCCATTAAAGCCTATTAGTGTACCCAGGGCCAAGACATCTTCCAAGAATAACCAAGACTCCACAGTCCTAAAAAATATACCAACAGCTACATACCTGCTCAAAATACGCTGCAAAAATATCACCTGTTTCTCCTAAAGCAGATATGAGGAGTACCGCAGATCCTTTGAAAAGGAAAGAAAATGCTATGTTTATTCCTTGACTTAGTCTTATTTCTTGACTTACACGCTCTTTCTTTTGGAAAAAAGTTGGCTTTGAAACATTTTCTACTGGATAGGTTTCAAAAGAAAAATCCTTATGGAGATTGACTTCAGATGGACCTGCTGAAACACTTCTGGATGGTGCCCACAGAGCTCTAACCTCAGTACTTCCTCAGGAGTAGGGTTTTAACCCACACAAGCGGACAAACTGCATCCTGACAACAACTACCGGTGGGAATTTGAGAAAGGATAGTCTTGAAAGACTAGTTACATAACAATGACAAGACACAAGGCTAATATTCACCTTCTCCCTCCTACAGACCAAAATATATTCCATCCAGCCTGTTTGGGATTGAACTGAATGCAGTTAGGTTTCTATTGGGGAGTGGCAATCACCAGCAGAACCTTTTGCCATGTCCTACAAGCTCAGTTAGTCAGGCTTTCCCAAGAACAGTCACGAGACTGTTGCAGACATCAGGCTGACAGCTTACAGAATAGATTAACTTCCCTATCCACTTATTTCCAAAGAGGAAATCCAACAGAGTCCCACATAAGAGACTTACTGAAGAAAAGAACTAATAACTGCTTCCTGCGAACACCCAAAGCTTGAAAGGACAGAGTCATGAAAGAGTATCTACTCAACAGTGCCAGATTTCAAACAAGATGATAGCCTTTCATGATGCAAGACATCAAGAACAGGTGAAAGAATGCGAAAAACCACAGCCTGGACACCAGATGAGTTCTTACTGACAACCACCACCCAAATTATTTATTTCCTGCACCAGTTAGGCTTAGGGCATATCTCACAAATACCACAACAAATACAATCGCTGAAATGAAACACTCTTGGCAACACATTTTTCTTATCAACAGCCACTAGGAAACTATGAGAACAAGAAGAGATGATGACATTAATGAGAAGAAATGGATTCCTCAGCAGCAGTTTAAATACCTATTTTGTTTGAAGTGGAGGCATCTTCATTCATAAACCCAAAGCACCATCACTATCACTTGGTTTTGATGGCCAGAGATTTACTCTTTAAAACGCTCAAGTAAAATTCACTCAGCACATGCGAAGTATCCAAAAATAAGTCTGAATAAAACCAAGATTATTTTCAAAAGCTCCCCTTGCTTTTATGCATTCCAACCTTCAATGTTGGGAAAACCACTACAAAGCTGGAGTAGCTGTCTTGTCTAAGCAGACTAAAAGTTACTGGCAGCAAGAATTAGGAACCTGTTTTCACATGAGATACCTTGTATCTACTACCACCTCAGAAAACCTTCCCCCAGTCTATACTTCCCAGTTGCTATGATGCCTTGGTCTGGTGTGTCTCTTCCAATGGCAGTAGTTAGGGTGGGTAAGAATTCATGGTTTATTTTCAAAACCAACGTTAAAGAAAATAAGATTTTATTAAAATCCAATTTTATAAATATGAAATGCGCGCCTTTTTTTTAATGCATGCCAATCTACATTTGAAATTTTGATATCCTAATTTCTAGTAAATTTAGTTTCAAAATATCACTGAAAATGAAATTAAGACATGGAAGTCTATTATATCAAATCACTGGGCTGAGGAAGATGACTCCCTCAGCACATAACCCTCAGCTTGGTCAAACTTTGAGGTCAAACCTCAAAAATGAGGTTATGAAAGAGGGAAATACTTCTGCAGGTACAAAGAGTATTTTATTTTTATGTCCTTCACCTAGTCATGTTCAATGACTAATTCCTTTACACCTGAAAAGTGAACTTGAAAACAGGAATTTTATTCATATATTAGAGACAGACAAGATTTACTAGTTCCAGAGACTTGAAGCTCATGGTGACAAAAAAATAGGTCAGTTTAATTCATATCTATCTTCCTCTATTCATAAAGTCCATTTTTAAAGAGGCAAGTTTCAGTGTACTTTCCAAAGTAAAACACAGTATGTTTTAGATTGCTTTGTCAAAACATGAATGAAAATGAAATGCTGCTACTGTAGAGTTAATCACATGCTACTCAGCGCTCTAAAAAAAAAAAAAAACAAACAAAGAACAGGATACCATTTTCAAAGAATGTTTTAAATATATAGTAATACACGTAAGTATACAGAGTTTACATATTTGCTATGTAAATATGTATATATTTAGTCTATAATACATAGAGGCTAAATACTTATTTTCAGAACCCTCGTTTTCCTCTAGGTAGCAAGATTAGAATACAGCATGTACTAAAACAACAAAAGCAGCATATACTATTTTTCACCAACTAACTTTTTCTACAGTGCACGTCATAAACTAAAGCTGTAGATACAAAACAAGATTAGAGTAAGATTATTCAACATAGTGCTTTCTGCTTACCAACTCAAAACTCCACATGTTTACATTACTCCCACCCTATCTGTAACCACAGAATTCTTCTGCTGATAAGATTACTCAACAGAAGACAGGCAAGAGCAACCACATCTATCATGCAAGAAATTAGAGACAAGGAAGAAAAAAAGACAAAGCTATCTTGACTGACTTGTGAACGCCAAAAAAAAAATACAATCAATAAAGGCACCTTTAGAATATAGGGTCTGATAAAGATAATTATTGTGACCAACGTATAGTTCCTCTTAAACTCCCGTATTGAACTCCAGCTTCTTGTGTGAGATGCTTTGAAAACCCACAACATTTATTTCTGGGAAGAGTTAACCTTTCAACAAACAAGATGATTGCTTTGTCTGCATGCTGGCAAGCATCGTGTCTTTTGACAGCATTTGTTTTTAACCACAGAATGGTGTGCTACATGAGGAGGCATATATGTGTTATCTTCTAAGACTTGCTATTTGCTTGCTGTCCATTGTGGGGAAAAAGCAGTTCAGAGTCACGCTTTCAAGGTTTCTGCAGCTAATTCTTCACCACCTTAAAGTCTTCAACTCTTATGGGTGTTCAAAACATGGCAGGAGGCCACTTTTCTCAAAGAAACCCCTTGTCTCCTTCCTGATGGATGTGAAATACCTTTGGGTGACAGAAACATTTGCTCTTCCCATGCCACGCAGTTGCTCGCCTTCAGATGAAGTTCACTAAGACAGCCCCAAAACTTACCATTGCTCGAGAAGAGGCCTTCTTCACTCCCTGCCACACAAGGTTGTGAGAACCTTTCAGCTACCCTTCACCAAGCCTCTCTGCACACAGTTGAAGATATCAAGACACAGTGAATATGAAATGTCTCCTTTCCGTTCCTTCTGTGCTTCCCTAGGGGGATTCTTATCTTATCTGCCTGGAACAGTGTGTCTCTCTTAATATATTTAGACAACAGCCATGCAGAAAACCTACAAGAGAAGGGGATAGACTTCCTCCATAAACTCTTGGTGCAACAATTCAACAGATGATCCCTGCCATTACAGAAAAACTATTATAGCAAAAGATAATTATTTACCAAGGCAGTGCACAAGCTTGGACTGAAGGTGGAAAGCTCAAGACAAGTACAAAAGTGTTAGCAGCCTTTTATGGGGGAGGACTACCCCTCTGAAAGCTTTGAAAAGCAGCAGCAACCTGGTTTCAGACAGTGGGTCTTTCTCTCTTCACATTCTCTTTGTTTCACCAACCCAAAGAGCCTTGTTTCTTCTTAAGGCTCACTCTATTTTAGCACTTAACTCACAGTTAACTTCTGCAGATGTGACATAGCAGAAATGCCACCTTCATAGTACACTGTGCATTTGTGGACGAATTTCTCTAAAAATGTTCATTTTATCTTGAAGAGGCAGCTGCTAATGCCATTCATTGTGAAAAAATTTGATCCCTTGTACTACTCTGTTATTGTCCTGCTAAATTATATGCAGTTACAGAATAAAGCACATTTTATTTAATACCACACCTAGACACATTCTTCAATTTTAGAGTAGTATAATGGCTTCAAGGCTGTCACAGGACAAAATTGCTTTGGTTAAACCTGTAGAACTCCAGGACAAGCCAAATTTAGCATAGTTACTCTAAAACAATGTACAGTTTGAACTTACCTGTATTCAGCACATATCATAAACTGTCTTCTTTCAACTAACAGCATAGTAATTGTCAAGTAATATCCCACCACCTTCAAAAAGATAATTTAGCAGGTTCCCTATTTTCCTTCCTCTTGGATAAAAGCTACCAGGCCTTACCTTTAGCTGCTGTTCTCCCCATGGTAACACTTCTGTGATCTCCCCTCTCACAATAAAAAGGCTGAAGTTGAAAGACCAGTTAATTCTTCCTTTCAGCAGAACAGTTTCCTGTGGAGTAGTAATACAACAAGTTAGGGGGGAGGTTGTTGTTGGGGTTTGGGTTTTCTTTTTTTCGGAAAGGCGGATTTTTTTTGTATTGGTGTACAATTATCTTGCTGTTTCTAAGTTGCAAATGTTTAACAAACTATGTGTAGAAGAAGAGCGTGTAAACAATGGATATATCAAAGCAGCAAGGGTACAGAACCCAAACTTTTATTTCATTGTTTTAGACAGTTCATTGTATAATGACTTGCATTTTCTGTGGATTTCTAGTACAAAGAAAGATATAAAATGTGCTTTATTCCTTTTTTTCCCCCCGAACAAACATCACTGAAAAATGGGGGAAAGACTTTTATGTATAATCCACTCACCCTGCCTCACTTGCACAGAGTTAAACAATCATCAATTTAAACGCCTTTGAGTAAAAAACACTATCTTGCACAACTACAGCGGAAGGGAGAACAAAACACTGATGTAAGAAATCTGCACAAATGCCCAAGTGCTCACTGATACCCCTGCCCACTACGATTTGTAACACAGCACAGAGAACCTGTTAGGGAAATGCTAACTACAGATAAAAGTAGCGAGCCACATTCTTGTAGGGTTTAGAAACTAGAACAGCCAGATTAGTTAAACCATCGTAAAACAGCGAAAACGAACCTTATTTTTTTCATGTGTGCTACTGCGATTTTCAACTCCAGCATCTAGTTTTCTGAACTTTGACTGTGTTCGATTGAATTCAAGTCAAACTCATTTGAAGCATTTTAGCCTTGAAGCAACAAAGCCAGCAAGTTTATGATCCTTTTCCATTAATTTTTCAAGTAATAATGGGTAAATATATATTAAATTTTCTGAATTATCATCTTTGATCATTTCCTTTCACGGAATTCCCATGAGGTTAAAGCTGACATCATCAAAAGTTTGAGGGGTTTTTTTTTTTAAGTTTAAATATGTGCATACTTTTTCCAAGATTAATTTTGCCAAAGGTAACATTTTTAGAAGCTGCACCTTCCCAGTATTATATAAAAGCAATAATAGTTGAAAAGCAAGTAATCTACTTGGAATTTCTTGAAGTACACATACATATCGCATATAACAAGAGACGTGTCATACAGCTGAGTATTTTCCTGAAACTGACATTCCAGTGAAACTTTGAGGAACTTGCACACTATGGTGATGGATTGCATGATGAAAACTTTACACAGTGCAAGTCCCATGGCTAAAACTAATTAAATATGGTTTTAAAAATGCCAGTGACTGAAGAATTCATTTAGTGTGTGAGTACTATGTGCGAACATGCTGGACAGTTATTACAAAAACTCTCAGGATTGAGACTTGAAAGCAGTTATAAATAAAACTGAATACTACCATAAAATAAGCGGGTTTTGCTACACAATAGCATTCATAGCATAAGTGATCATCAGGATTAAGAACAGAAATCCTTTTAAGCCACCAAATAAATTTGAAATACTTGATACTTTCGTAGACTCCCCCAAAAATTCAAAGCTTTTCCACTGCAAGTAATAAATTGTGAAAGGTGATGCAGAGTCAAAGTAACTGTTTTTACAGATTACTTTAAAACAGCGCATGGTTTTTATCTTTTTGTTCCAAGTACCAGATTGCACTTGGTGCAGTAATAAAGATTCCAACCCCGCAGTGATAGTCATCAAGTTTAGCACAACCGGAGTGTCTGTCAGAACATAAAAAGGATTCCAGCTTTTCATTAGCTTGTGTTGTACCAGATAGGCTATTTTACAGCATGCCCACCAGCCTGTTAAAAATATAAGACAACTGGAAGTTCTGAAAGTGCCCTTTGAAATGAGGCAAACCCAACTGCAGGAATACAATATATTACTGTTTCGGAGAGGTGCTACTTAAAACTCAGTTACACCTAAGTATTCAATTTAGAGCTACTACTAAATTAGTTTGTAGATAGTGCCGTTTGTCACAGAAAACATTCAGGAACGGTATTTCTGAGCCCTTTATCTAACAACCGCTACACGCTGCTGAATTATAGCAAAATGAAAACCAGTTACCTCCAAAAGAGAGTGGGGTCAGTCTGAAACAAAGTGTAACTTCTTTCGCAAGGGCAGACCGAGGAACAGCTTTCCATCACCTCATGTAATTAAGCGGCAAACCGTACGCAAGGCAGTTATGTCCTTTGCTAACCACGACAGAGTCCTCTTACATTGCGCTCCCCATCACCAGCCTGGCTCAACCCACAGCGCTCCCGCCACGGAAGAGAAGGAAACCACCAGCAAATACAGGGGAGAAACACTCAAGGATGTTTTGGCAAAATTATGTAGAAAGGACAGAGCTCGAAGCATTCTTGTACGTGCACCTCAGCAAGCAAGCTGAGTGAGTGATACAGACAGCTGTGTTTAAGAAATTAATCTAGCAGCTTCTAGAAATGAAGGGGAAAAATAAAACAAAACAAGGTCAGGAATATACAAGCAAACAAAGAAATGCAATGGCAAGGCTGAAGCATAATGGCGTTAGGGTGCACAAAGCAGCAAAACGAAAACCAAAGTTACAAAGACCAAGCTAAGCATAGTGATTGTCAGTCACAGACAGAAAATGGCCAAAACCCACTGATTTAGAGAATGGCAGTACAGAATCCATATCAGACACCAGTGAGAAACTGTTTGCTGTAAACTAAGGAAATTGAAAAAGCTAAAAAAAAAAAAAAAAATCCATGAACCTAGGCTAACATTGGATTCAACATCAAAATATCTTCAGTTTAAAGAGCTGTGGAGGATCTCCACACTCATGAACTGTATTATTTACGTCATTTACATCTCAATTCATGCTGTAAACTGCATTTTATTCTTTCTCTGATTAGCATCCCTTACATCAGTAACTTTTTAAAAAATCAGATGGAAAGCATTCATCTGCCTTTAATTCCCTACTGAAGTTTTTATTGTTAATCCCCAAATCACTTCTACTGGCCACCTCCCACTGTGTGAGCCCTTTGTCATAAAGCAGCATATTAGTAGACAAGCCTAAGCCTTCACCCTCTCTGTGTTGCTACTATATATACTAGGTGTCAGAAAACAGGATGGAAAATATTTTTCCTGTCTAACTTTGTTCTTCTCATTTTGAAAGAATTACTCAAAGGACATGCATTCCTACATTTCAAAGAAGCTAGTATTCTACAGAAAATGTCAAAATCATTCTCTGTTTTGCCTGCTAAGCATCTCCATTATCCTCACTGTAAGTCAGGCACTCAAGAAAGCTGAATGTCCTGAAAAAAAATCATACATATTTAGGGCTTCCGAGTGCAAGTTTATCTTGACAGCATGCCCGCTCATAAAAATACATAGCACAGAATTATGGAAATAAATATAACATTTAAAAGAAGCCTAAGCAACCAGTAGATCATGGGTTTATACCCCACCAAAAATATTAAGGGTTTTCTGTCAATGACTTTGCATCTCATTCTCAGAGGTAAGACAGAGACACCAATTTTAGAGCAAGCTAGCTTTTTGTCCCCATCACCAGTACAAATGCAGTAACTCAGATTGCATCGCTGACATCCTCAGGGGAGGAAGGGACAGTCGTGGATTGGCAGTCTCTGCTGGATAGGGACTGAGGCTATTCTTTTATACAGATGCACAGCACAGAAAAGAAATCTTAACAAAACATTCACTTCGAAGCATCAATTACGTTGTTCTTAATTTTAGCTTGAAATACAGGCAGACATCTTTCAGGCGCAATCTGAACAAGGAGTTATACTTGCCCTCTCTTTCTTCATTCCTTTTCTTCTACAAATGCTTCCAGATCAAGTTTCCATACACAAGTGTGGAAAAGAACTACACATAGTTTGAACAGCAAAACCAGTTATAGGCAGACAATAGGGGCAATGTAAGCGAAGAAATATTCCCCCCCCCCGACTCTTTTGTACGTACAAGTCCTACGTTTGCTTTCACCACCAGCATTCGCGTGCTGTTGGCTTTAGAAACGTAACAGACACCAGCCACAACCGCTGGTCAGTATCACCATGCTCCCATCGCTGTTGCCTCTTCTTGCCTCCTCCTTGTTGTTTGCTATGGCCAATACTGCAGAGAGCCCTTTGAGGAAAGGGCCTGCACAGCCTCCTCCATGGACCAACACACAGTCCAGCAGCTGCGGTTCCCACTCCAGCTTCCATACGTGGGTAACATGTACCTACAAGCACCAGTTGCTTCCCAAACAAGTGTGGCTTAACTGCATTCCTTCCAAGTTATCCTACATGAATCTGAAATACCTTTTTTAAAACCTAATCATCTATTCATCTGTTATCTCTTAAATAAAATCCCTACTTCACACCATTTTCACAAGTATTTAAGGGGTTGAAAAGAGGCAAGTAAAGAGAATAAGACTTAAAAGGAGTATTTCTATAACATGCAATACTTCCAAATTTCCAATACTTGAAAAATTACTTTCCAGCAAGTTACCCTGTGCATTGACTCATTTAGGATACTGCAAGACACAACAGCATATACTTCCTTATTTCTGTAGTAGAGATAATCAGTTCACACCTTTTAGAGCATACTGTGGCATCATTATAGAAAAGTAAGATCTCAAAGGCTAAAAGAAAAAAAAGTTACACGAATATATCAGAAGTTTATAAAATTTAATACAAGCTTTGTACTTGTAATACCAGTATTATGTAGGATTACACATATATGTTTTCAAAACAAAACATAAAGGTTGGGACTTCTTTCATTTATGCACACAATTATACAACCAGTCGGTGTTCCAACATGAAATTTGATCCAAGTTGGAATCCCTTTTAGTTCATATTCTTTGTAACAACAACCACCACAAAAAAAAAAAAAGTGAGGTTCTTCCAAGGAAAGGAAATTAAATTTCCACATTTTCATACAGCAGAACTTCTAATGAGCCAATGTATCTGAACATCACCTCTTCTAGTTGACAAAAATGAAGCTAGAAGAGATAGGCTTTTATCAAATTTACATGCTTTCAAAAGAGCAAATATTAGCAAGCCATATGTATTATTACAACAA